CTCCTGGTGCGAGGAATGGCAGATGGTCATTAACTTTGATAAAAGTGTTTTTATGCAAATTACACACATGAAAAAACCTTTGCATTTCAGATACAATGCTAACAACACCTTTTGACTGAAGTCACTAATTATAAGTACTTGGGGCTTTACATATCGAATGATCTCTGCTGGAACAAACACATTACACATGTAACGGCCAATGCAACTTAAAACTGTTTTTTCTATGTCGTGCTCTCAAACTATCCACGGGACGTGATATCAAGTTCAGTAAGGGTCACGATTGGGCTGTAAGCGTAGCGTATAGTCATGTTTTACATGACATGCATGCCGTGATTGTCATGTTTGTGCGTGTCATTTATCTTCGTCGTCTGTTCACGTCACGTGATACCAAATTTGGTATATGAGGAGCTAGCGAAACGGCCACGATTGGGCTATTAGAGTAGTATGTAGTCCACATTGTCATGCTTTATTGACAAGCAAGTCATTGTTATCGCGTTTGGACGTGTCATTTCTCTTAGTCGTCTATTCACGTCACAAGATACGAAATTCGACATAAGTGGACCTAACGAAACGGCCACAAATGGGCTATGAGCGTAGCATGCAGTCAAATCTTACATGACACATTGCGATGATTATCATGTTTCGACCTGTCATTTACCTTCGTCGTATGTTCGCGTTATGTGATACCGAATTTGGTATATGGGGATCTATCGAAACAGCAACGAACGGCTTATGAGCGTAGCCTGTAATCATGACTTACATAATATGCATATAATTATTTCCACGTTGGGGTCAGGCAGTTATGTTCGTCATGCAGCCATGTCACATCATACCAATTTTGCAATGTTATTGATTAATATGTGGGGTTAAGCGTTTCATTTGATTGATTGATTGATCTGATATGTGGGTTTAACGTCCCAAAACCACCATATAATTATGAGAGACGCCGTAGTGGAGTGCTCCGGAAATTTCCACCCCCCGTGGTTCTTTAACGTGCACCCAAATCTGAGCACACGGGCCTACAACATTTCCGCCTCCACCGGAAACGCAGCCGCCGCAGCCGGGATTTGAGCCCGCGACCTACGGGTCAGCAGCCGAGTACCTTGGTCACTAGACCACCGCGGCGGGGCGGTTAAGCGTCCCAAAATCACCATATGATTATGAGAGACGCCGTAGTGGAGGGTTCCAGAAATTTCGACCACCTGGGGCGCTTAACGTGCAACCAAATCTGAGCACACAGGCCTACAACAATTCCGCCTCCATTGGAAACGCAGCCGCCGAAGCCGGGATTCGATCTCCTGACCTGCAGGTCGGCAGCCGAGTGCCTTAGAAACTAGAACACGGCGGCGGGGCAGTTTTGCAACGTTATGGGAACAAAATCATCGCAAGAGCAGCAGGACCTTAAAATGTAAATCATGACATTCAAGACACACATTTCATAGTTTTCGTGTCATGAATAGTCACTTATGCTCGTCATACACTCAAGTTGTACCACACAAATTTTGGTATTGGTGCCATTATGGATACGACCAGGAGGAGGAGGAGGAGTAGGAGGAAGGAAAGGAATGAAAGGCAGGGAGGTCAACCAGACGCACGTCCGGTTTGCTACCCTGCACTGGGGGAAGGAATGAGGGCATTAAAGGAGAAGAGAGAGAGACGTGAAGGGCAACGTGTGTGTAGATGTGACCTTGTCCATTGCACGCTTATAAGCGGTCGCGTAGTCCGGTCATCTTTAGAAAACTTAGCAGTGCTCGCGTCGCTTTGCTGGCCTGCGACGCGTACAGCCATAAACCAAGGATCTTCTCTTCGGAGAAAGGTCTACTGTCTAGTGTCTCTAACGTTTCGCGTAGCAAGTTGCGTTCGCTCGAAAAACGTTCACATGGACACAGTAGATGTTCTATTGTCTCGTCAGTGTCACACGATTCACATCGGGAGCTATCCGCCATTCATATGAGAAAGGAGTACGCCTTTGTAAAAGCTACTCCTAACCCCAAGCGGCACAGTAAAGTTGCATCCTGGCGGGAGAGGTCCGATAGAACTTGAAGCTTTCTCGATGGGTCCAATTTGTGTAGGCGGTGGTTCCTGACACTGGGGTCACTCAGCCAAGTTTCCCACATGGTGTTAGTGAACGAGTGAAGGCCAGGAAAGCTAAAAGTGACAGACAGACAGACAGACAGACAGACAGACAGACAGACAGACAGACAGACAGACAGATAGACAGATAGATAGATAGATAGATAGATAGATAGATAGATAGACAGACAGACAGACAGACAGACAGACAGACAGACAGACAGACAGACAGACAGACAGACAGACAGATAGATAGATAGATAGATAGATAGATAGATAGATAGATAGATAGATAGATACTGTCAGTGTTGCCGAACTTCGCTAAGAAATGCTCGCTAACAAAATCACCTGCTTGTTACATGACGTCACAAAGAAGGAGAGCATCTTCTTCTAAATATAATTCACGTATAGGCTAGCTGCCAATCACATGAGCAGCGGCTAATTATAGAAGCAGGCGAAATGCATGATGAGTACAAAATATTTGCACTTGCAGCATAACGGCGCTTAGTAGTTCGTGCCCGTATACATCTCTGTGAGCTCATACTTGCTGAGAAAAAAGGAATAGAGTGAAATAAACAGCGCAGCACGAGCTGGCCCAGATGTATTTTGAGCTGTAAATGACAATTCAAGTTGAGTAAAAACCAACTAGCCCGTCTCTTAACTAAGCATCCATAGTGCTACAAACTATGGTCTTTCACCTTCTACCTCGTTCGGTGGGTGAAGTTGCGGGGAAAGCTTAAAGGCTGGGCTTCCCACTGAGCTCGAGTCCACTGCGCTATTCGTGGTCCCTTTGCAAGCTGCCGCAATGACTCGAAGTTACGATAATCAAGGTTGATCAGGTTTATCAAGGCTAAAGCGGAAACAATTTCTGGCGTTTCAGTAAGGAAAACTTAAACATCAAAAACAATTCGTCACACTCACTGGTTCACATCAGCTTCGACAGAGCAACGGTGGTGGTTTATCCTTTTCGAAGAAAGGAAATAATTTGCCGGAAGCAGCAAATGCTTTGACCGGTCCATAAAACGTTTGCTCGTTCCCATCCGTAACGGTACCAACAAGTACCAGCGGAATGAAAGCATGTACAAGTGTTGAATTGTTATCGGGCGTCTGTTCAGCTCTTGCCTGCTCTGCAATGGCACATCACAAGGCGCGAAAGCGTCGCATAGGCGACCCACACCGCAAAGAGCCTACAGTGAAAACCTTTGCTACTTAGCATGATACACTCGTCGGCACAAGTACGCCAGTTTATACGGAGTGGAAAACGCAACATATGATGCCATGCCAGTGGCCACCTAGTTTGGATATGGCTCAGCTAGTGCAAGTACGCCACCACCTGTTGTTTAGCCCGTTCTCATTTTCTTAATCTCCCTGAGAGCTAATATTCAGCTACTTTGTAGCAAATATTCAGCAACGACATGCAAGACTTCACAAAAAAAGCCAGCCTCCTCGAGCAAGCGGATTTGATTACAAAAGCTGGTCTGCATCGTGTGCGAACATGGTCCGCGCTACGCGAATGTAAGGCAATGCGGAGCGAGGCCATATTTGATAGTCTTGAAATGCGAGGAACAATATGGAAAAAGCTCGAAGTTACTGCGAGGCATGTAAGCGCAACAACAAGATCGCTTTTCACGCACAGATTAATGTTTAAAAACTGCAAAATATTGTCGGTAGGAAGCTCTAAAGGGAAGGTTAGTTCTTTGGCATCATTTACCTTAAAAGCATCTAAAATGAAGTGCACTATTTCCAGGTAGGGCACATGGCACATCTTCGTCACAGCTGATGTTAAGCAATTAATCAACAGCGCTGCTTCCCCAAGACTTACCTGAAAACGTCCAGGAGATTCCTACAAATTTTTGATCTCTTCTGTACACCTTATTTATGTTTTTGAATGAGCTAAATGCTCCGGCAGTAATCACCACGGCCCCTGAACAGCCGCGATTTCTCATTCACATATTGGAACGCTAAAGTGAACTCATGTAGGTCGGAGAATGTCCAGTCTCAGTGCCTGATGGTACTCTTTTCTGTGTGCAGTGCTCTCCTCTCTCTTTTTTCTCTCTCTCACCTTATCACCGGTGCCAGGTAGCAAACCAGAAGCTCTTCTGGTAAACATTTATGTCTTATTTACCGCATCTTTTCTTTTAGAAACGTCATTACATTTTGTCTACTGGCCTTATCTGTGAAATAGATTGCGTATTTGTGTTGTTTTCTACTCGTGCAGTGTGAAATCTCGGGATATGCGTATATAGTCTATAGTAGCCTGAGTATCAAAAAAGTCACGTGATTCTGAAAAAAATCTTTAAAAAGACTGCACTTCACGTGTGCAATCGTGTCTCTTCTTGCATTTGTGTCTCAGTGACTCAATTTTAAACATTGTAATGACAAACAAACAGGCTCACATCAAACCCGATTAACTGCTGTGAAATGTTATAGGTACGTACCAAAAGCACCTCCTCTTGCCGCTTTCAACCAAGTGAAAAAATATTAACGACACCTATGGGCTGTCCTTTATGAGCAGCCGATGGTTAATCCTTCAAAACATTCAATCACAGGCCCCCCCACAAAATAACAAAACACGCAGGAAAAATTCCACAAAATCACTAAACAAACGAAGGAAAACTAAGACTCCGCTGTTCCCGCCGATTTCTCAAAGGGTGGAACTGAGGCGAACTTTTATATACTGCGTTATGATGGCTTCATCGAGCAGTTTTCAGTTTTATATCTGAAGCGGAAGCAAGGTTGCAGTGCGAGAGATTGGTCCCATCCAAATAACACTCAGGGATGCTAGGCATGAGTTGAAGTGTCGGGAGGACGGACACCAAGTAGCCCTAGAGATATAAAGTAACCACTTTCCGGCAGGCACTGTAAAGGCCACATTGTCTTAGCAATCGTTATGAAGGTTCTTTGTTAAAAGCAGCCCATCTACTTACCACATGGTCCCGTAAAACGGTGCTGCACGTCACGCATGGCGTTGCAGGCAGCCCTTCGCAGCTCACAGCTGTTTGGGTAATCACGGCCATCGGAGCCGCACACGGGTCTCGAACCACGGGCGTCTCCATACGAGACACACTTGTCCGGACAGACGCAGTCGGCGCCGCGTCCATCCAGCGTTGGGCGACACTCGGCACCCCACTCACATCGCTTCTCAAGGCAAGGATCGGCCACATCTGCAGAAAATTTGTAGCAGGCTTTTGTGAGACGGCCGAGAACCAACACGAGGTGCACGATCAGCGAACTCAGCTTCACTGCCATGGTGCCAACCTGCCGGCGCTCGCTTTGCTCACAATGGCGAACTCATCGATCGGGACCAAACGCGCCCGGCGCTGCGATCGGTGGCGCCGCGGAATTGCGTGGGAAATTCAATGAAAATCAGAAAGACATAAGAGCACGTCACGACGTGCAGATTACAACTTCATTTTGCAAACTGGATGCTCGCGGTGTCAGACACATGCGTTATTTGCCCAAACATCCCATATCGCATGCTTTGTAGATTGAACACAGACTAGAGTGCAGCCTAGTGTCTGTGTTTCTACACTGACTAATAGATCTTCGCAGATTTTAAATGCGAAGAAGCTTATAGTGGAGCTCAAGGTGGTGTGCGTAACCAACCATACTACGCATGCCTAACAGCTAGTGCGAGCACGGCCAGAATGCGGTCGCGCGTTCGGACTTGTGCAAGGGGCTGGGTAAGACCAACGCCCCTTAGACTGCCAAAGCTTTCCCGATGGATGAACGAACGTTAAAGAACGCCAGGTGGTCGAAATTTCCGGAGCCCTTTACTACAGTGTCTTCCATAATCCTGAAGTTAAATTCGTGAAGTCCGTCGGGTGTGGCAAAGGCAGTTTTTTTTCCTTATCGTCTTCGTGCATTGAAATTTGCCAATAACCGGAGCGCAGGTGAAGGCTCGAAAAATATTCCGCTCATTGTAAGGAATCTGAGGCATCATCAATGCTAAGAATCGCACCGAACCGTCTTGTTTTTGTCCGAGAACGACAGGTGACGACCAAGGTCTTGAGGAGGGGCGGAGGATGTCTTGCCTGAGCATATCAGCAACGGGCTTGTCGATGACCTCGCGTTCGCTGGAAGAAACACGGTATGGTCGACGATGGAGAATAGAAGTTCCGACGTTGTGTATGCAATAAGCCACCGCAGAAGTCTGGCTTAGAGCAGTGGAATGTACGTCAAAAGAAAATTTATGCTTAGACAACAACGCCAGTAGTTCGTCTGCTTGCGGGGGAGTGAGATCCGTGCTGAAGGCATTGACGACAGCCTCAGTAGGTGGAGCACCTGTTGGTATTGAACATAAGTGCACCAGACTGGTATCTAAAGCCACTACGGAGATAGGTTGTGTGTCCACGCTGGAAACTACAACAGTGCCCTTGGTCAGCAGAATGGGCTCAATAATGATATTCAGTACTGCGAGAAATGCGGTGCCGTTGGAGAAGCGGACAAGACTCGATGAAAGCGCAATCCCTCTGGATATACAAAGGGCTGATGGACTGACTAGGACGCCACCGTGGTCAATTGAGTCTGACATAACCGTGATTACGTGCTCGTGGTTAGGTGGCATAAGGAAGTCATTGACTGTTCGTAGCCGGTCTCATGATGATTTCGGGGAGATATCATCCGTCTCTCGCATATGTAACAGTCGTTGTCGACAAGAGATAGAAGCAGCAGCATCACATAGAAAGTCCCATTCTAAAATAAGCATGAAAGCACAAGAAGCCAGCCCGGCAAACGGAATATGATGCCGGATCCCACCAATGAAAACTCTAACAATGCACTGTGCTGATGGCCGTATCTGCGAGTCATTTGGGCTACGTAAGACAGTGCCAGTATAAGGTGTTGTAACCATTACGTAGACGAGACCACAAATCCACATGAATAACAGAAATAGCAGCCCCCGCGTTCCACCAATATTTTAACTGGTACCCCTTCCGTATACACTAATAACAAGTTGGCTGGGCCCTCTGGAGGTCTTAGTGCTTTTTCTAGTGATGCAGCTTTCCCTCCAAAAACTGCACCAGCTAGTTTTCCGAGTGGTGGTCAGAAGTAGGTGCAGCCGGTCTCAGAGGAGATGTTGAGCGTCGCAGAGGTGAAGGGGACCAGCGGCGTCCGGGGAGCAGGGGCGAGGTGCGGCGAGCGAAGTCAGAGAGAAGGAACGTGTCGTAGGGCGTCGCTGGTACTGGTTCAGGGATGGCTCCGAATCTCCTTCCGTAAACGTCAGTAGCCATGGCGTTCGTCCTGTTGGCACTTGCGGCAAAATCGTTAAATATGGCCCCGAATGCCACAATAGTAAGATATTGGGCGAGGCGAGCGCTTTGGGTAGTAGTGTGCTGGAGCTGTCACAGGCGCTGGTACTAGCGCTGGGACAGGCGAGTGTGGTGCAAATGCTTCTACGTTTGACTGCGCAAGGAACAGGATGCGCGTGCTGAACCAAGGCAAGTGGCATGGCAGCGACTTGCGCATAGGTACATGGGTGGACGTTGGTGGCGCCGTAGTGTTCGATGAGAGAGCGCTAGCCATAGGATCAGAGCTCCTCTTTGATGATGTCACGCAGACCAGCAGATTTAGATTGAGGCCGAGGGGTGGGTGTACATGACAACCCTTGCTCTTGAAGTTCCTCGCGAATCAGAGTGCGAATCAGCGCGCGCAAATCCGCATCCGAGGAAGGCCGGCTGTCACTGGCGTCTGGGTAGTCTAGGTGCAATCGAATGGCTTGGAGTTCTTCATGATGCTGACATGTGGTGATGAAGTCCTCAACGGTGGTGGGTTTTTTAACAGCCAGAGCGTTAAACACGACATGGCCTAACCCTTTCATGATGTGACGAACACGATCAGCTTCTGTCATCGCCGAGATCACGCGGTGGCAAAGGGCAAGGACGTCTTCAATGTACGAAGTGTACGTCTCCCTGGGATGTTGGGTACGCACATCGAGCTTTCGTTTCGACACTTTGGGAATGGATGTTCGGTTTCCCAAAAATCCTACGGACTTGTTGAGCAAAAGTAGGCCGATCCGGGAAGCTGCTCTCGTGAATAAAAAACCACGTTTTCGCGACATCGGACAAATAGAAGGCGACGTGACGAAGTTTTTGATGTTCATCCCATTGGTTATAAACACTGGTGATGTATTCTTTCAGCCATACCTTGACGTCGTCGCGTGAAAGACCAGAGAAGATGGGTGGGTCGCGCTGCCGGGCATTGATGGTCCACGCAGGAATGGTTTGTTGGACATGAATGCTGGATGTTCCGGGCAGCGGTCCTTGAGCCATGACATAGGACGTGAGAAGCAAGCGGCGACCCGAACGAAGCTCCAGCGGAACGTGACGTCGGAAAGGACTTGGGGATCGAAGCAGCCTCCACCACTCTGTAAGACAGTAGCAGCGTTCGAGCCTCGACGGCGTTTATTAGGTCGAATCGCCTGATCAATGCTTCGAACGAAGATGACCTTTTTAGTGATGATGATTATTTACAGATGAAGAAGATGAAGGTCAAACACTGTGAATATTGTGCTTACAATATGAAAGTTTGGGTCGTTAAACCCCACATATAAATTCATCATTTAATGGTTGCGTGACGTCACCATATGGATCCGCACACGCGATGCGTTCCGGTGATCTGCAGCGTTGCACTCGCTTCTACAGGTCTTGTAAAAGTTTGTGATGAGTGCGAAATACTATGAAATGTATTCGAGAAGCTTTCTTGGGCAAAAGTAAAGAATTGTGCATGTAGTTTTAGAGGGCGTCGGAAAAACGCTGTAAATCTTCCCCTTCTCGCACTCTCGCAGTAATCAAGTGAAGATGCGACGTCGTCGGAAAACAAGATTCTGCAGATGCGCGATGAACCAAAGAGTTGTATTCTAGTCAGAACGTGCTGGAACGTGCTAGCGTAACCAGGTGTGCGTAAGTGGCTGTGTAAGATGCTGTGGCCTCTCCTCCTTGCACTCTCTCCACAATCACATGTTGGAGTCGCGGAACGAGATTCTGCAGACGAGCAGTCAACCCACGTGCTCTCGCGTGACGTGGCTATGAACCCACATGGCGTGCTCCAACAAGAGTTCGGGACGAGTAAGAGCAACAGAAACTACAGGTAATTCACGGTGTGCTTCGCCTGCAAGGACGCGTTACCATCGGGAAGAGAGTCCGTGATGAATGCAACTTTAGGTTTTTGGCAGTGCCATTTTGTGAACGTGTTGGTAAATGGAACTTGAAAACATACTGAGCGCTTAGAAACAGGGACATCGGAGAGTAGACAACAAAATGCGCTAACGTCAACAATTTTTCTTTTCAGGAAACGCCAACGTAGATATCTGTGCACAGTGGCGCCACCAGTCTATCCACTAGACAAGCAGAAAAGCCCGTTCCCGAAGTATAAGGAGGGTGGATTTGTGGTCCAAGGGGAAGGTGACTATAAAGAGAGAGCCTTTTCTGCAGTTGCCAATGTTTTTAAAGGTGGGCCTGAGTAGGTTGTTCCATGATGTTGATGTAGCCAAGAAATATAACCTTAAAATAGAGTTTAGCGCAAAAACGCACAAGCCTGAATGGCTACTGAGGGTAATAGTATCAGAAGTAGGGTCATGCCAGAAGAATCTCGCCCTTTTTTTGAAGAAAGGCTGGGCCGGTATTCCTAAAACTGAGTACCCTTTTTTGATTAAGCATTCTGGGAAAATTGTACATTTCCTGAAGCGCAAACCAGACAAATGCTTTTTGGACCTTCGACATAAAGCAAGTATATTGTTCTTAGCTTCAAAATTAACTAATCATGTTCGCGGAAGAATGTATTGACAACTTTGGCGCAGTTGCGTTTCAGAACTCAGCCGAGATACCTGTTCAATGCTTTCTATATTTACTTCGCTGGTATCTCCGCTTGACATTTGCCACGTGGAATGGAAAAACTATCCTTCAGAAGCAGGGTGTTTATATCGACTTGTTTGACTCCGGTATTCAGTTACATTTTTCTGGTCCACCTTGACAAAAATGAGGCACATGCATTGTCGCATCACAGGGTGGCAAAAGTTGTCAGATACGTGGACGATTACTTTAGCTTGTTCGAAGGAGAAGCACGCGTAAGAGCAGATCAATTGGAAAACGTTTTTTCTGCTAATTCTTGCAGCAGAAGAGCCATCCGATAAGGTGCTGCGGCTTTTAGACATTGAACTTGAATTCAA